GAAGTGTTGTCTTAAAATTTTTTAACAAAATTCGAGAAGTGTATTTACTGGTTAGCAACTTATCAGTTTCATAATCTCATACACGTATACCAAATTTCAAAAAAACCTGCTTGAAACATTTCTGTCTTTGATCCCCAATATTTTGCCAGATTTGTAGTATTCACTCATTTTTGGTTTCTCTTCCTGAGAAATTGAAACTGAAGCTATTTTTTGGAGGCTTTGAAATTATTTTCGGAGGTTTGCAAGTAATTGAGAACCTTCATTATCGGCATAAAGTTCCAGCAAAAGGTTCCATCAAACAAAGAGTGCTAGTCGCATAATTGTTTAGTGTGTTCAGGTGTTCGGCTTTTTCAAACTCAAATTCATTTGTTTCCTCGGTGCTAACTGAGTGCTTTTTATTAAAAATGTTATAAGAAATTCGTTCTAAAATTCTTCAAGAAAAAAGACAATTCATTGTTTGTTATTGTGTACGTTAAAGTCAAAAGTTTACATCAAAAACCTCGTGAAACAGTCATATAAAACACAACTTTGTAATGCTACATTTCGACTAAAAGTTTTTATTTGCACGGTAAAGACCAAATGATCAGAAGGCAAAAAATAAGTGGTTGGAAATGCACTGCCAGTTCATTTTTGCTTAGTCCGTCTATTTCAAGTTAAACGTGTTCTATATTTCATAAATCTCCAAAGACGAGGCAGAATGACGTTAAAAGAAATGAGGAAGGGAAGAAAAGCAAATCTACTCAAAAAGTTATTTAAGCGAAGAAAGAAACTACTAAGGCCGCTATTCATCCTACAAAATTCGCCATACTTTGTACTCAAAATCTCTGTGATCTTTCAAAAGTTTTTTCAACAGTAACCTTCAGGTTCAGTGATGCTTTCTAACAGTACAATGAAATTGTCCACTAAAATTTCTCATTTCCACCTTACTCTAGAAACCTACGGCTTTTCCGAAAGCTTCATATTTTCAGCTGCTAGCTGTACAAAACTCTCTCCGCTACTAACCGAACATCTTAAGAAGATGTTGCGGCGCAACAAGAAGGTACAATGATGCAGTTACGGAGAGGGAAGAAATCGGATCGATTACGCAAAAAAATGTTGTTATTGGAGCCAACGACAAGCAGAATCCCGATCGGGTGATTAGCATAAACAGTCTACAACAAAAGATCAGCGAGCAAACACTATCAAGCCGGCGTC